AGATATTTAAGTGAATGGAAAGAAAAGAAATGTGATGAATATATAATATGTGCAAATGGCACTTTCAATAATAAGAAATCAAGGCAACAAAAATCAAATAATTGGAAAAGAAGAGAAAGATATAAAAGAATAAAAAGAAAGTAAGATGTAGAATATGATGTTAAAAGAATTAAATGAATTTAGGAATTAGAAATTTGAGAATATAAAAGTAATAAATCACAAAGATGTAATAAAATATGAAAAGAAGAAATAAAAAGTGTATTTTTATTGTAAAAATTAGAAATATTCAATAAAAGTGTCTAATTTAATGATGTAAAATGATTAACAATATTTTATTAATGAAAAATATTTTATTCTTTTTTATGTTATTGTTCATATGTATAACTTCATTATGATGTTTATTATATAATCAATAATATGTGTTATGTTATTATAACATATAATAAGTGATAAAATATAAATGAAAATGATATGAATATATGATATAGAATATAAAACAAAAGAATAATAAGAATAAATGATAAATAAATATAGAAATGATAATCAATGATATAATAATAAAATCAAAGTATAAAAGATAAAATTAATATTAATATAAATCAAAAGAGAATAAATATAAAATGAAAATAGATATAAATGATAATAATATAAAAGATGAATAAGATGAATAAACAAATACAACTAAATATAAAAGAATATAAATAAGAAAATAATAATAATATAAACATAAAAATAATAAACTAAGAATAATATAATAATATATAGATAAACAGATGATAGAAGTAATATATAGATAAACAGATGATAGAAATAAATATATAAAAATACGATAGATAAATAACATATAAATAATAAAAATTATAAAAATAATTAAATATGATTCATCAAATAATCTATTTCATTAATATTTCATACAAATTAAATACAAATAATTACAAAAGATAAACATAAAGATATACAGATTGTATATTTATCATATTTTTTATTTTAGAAACAAAATATAATAAAGTTGAATAATCTAATGATACAAAATATTTTGCATCTTTTTTTCTTTTTTGTAATTTATTTAGATGAATTTTTAGTGCCTGGCTGATTGAAGAAACAAAAGGAATGGAAATAAGTGAATGCAGTTATATTTGATACTACTTTAACACAAGAGCATGCGATGAAATAATCACCTACCTGAATGAGAAATGGAAGTGGAATGGAAATGGCATCAAAGAAATACAAAGTGATATCTATAAAATATCACATATCATCAAGAAGTACCTAGAGAATGAATTTATTGGATACAAGAAGGATTATGGCGTAATCATAAAAAGAAGAATAAATCAATTGAATGACTTGCTCATTAGAGGTAATTACAAGAAATTGAGGAAAATACTGAGAATAAGAACACTGAATGAAGAAATCAACTAATTAAAGTATCTGAAGGAATTTTGGAAGAAGAATGTCGATCTTTCAAGAATTGGAAGAAGAAGAATAAGAATATATCACAACAAGATACAAAGTGTAAATGGAAAGAAATTAAAGACAGTGAAATAAAAATAGAAAAGACAAAAAAAAAATAAAATAAAAAAAATTTCTTTTAAAAATGATATAAACTTAAAATCAAGATGAGTTTAACAGTGGAAAGAAATGAAAAAGGGGAGATTGTTCGAACAACATCAGCAATAGTATCCATTAAACATAGTCCAAGTGATCTGTATTCATGTGAAGATTATGGGTATGAAAGTAATGTAGAAGAGATTGAAGAAGATGTTGAAGAAGAAAGTTTTACTGATGAAATTTCAGATACAGAAGAAGAAGATGATGACGAAGGTGATGAAGATGAGTTAATTGAAAGAAACAAAGAATTGATTCAAATGATTGAAGAACTCATGAAACGAACACGTGAAGTTCAGTCTATGTATTATAAGGAAAAAGAACAAAAAGAAGTTGTATTAAAAGAACTTGAAAAAGAGAAACAAGCTGGAGAAATATTGAGAGCAAAGATTGAAGAATTTGATGAATTAATTCAAACAACAAAAGCAGTTTCATCGGAGAATGAAAAGTTATTAGTAGAATTAGACATAGAAAAGAAACAACATTCAGAAACATTAAAGAGACTTGCTGAATTAGAAGATGGGAGTGAAAGAAAAAATGTTGATGGGAGATTTTTTTGCGTTATGGAGTTGACTGTTATGAATGGAGAAGTTGTTCAAAGCAAATTGTTAAGAGATCTTGACCAAGAGTATGCACGATTAAGAAGCGAAAACCAACATATGTTAGAAGAAGTATGTAAAATAAAGTTATCTCTTGAAGGAAAAAAAAATATTGAAAAAGAGTTTGAAGAGGCTAAGAAAAGAATTGAAGAATTAGAACAAGTCGTTAAAGAAATTAATTTAAGAAATCAAACAATTAATATTAATGAAGACAATAAAGTTACTCGTAAATCAATTCTTAAATTAAAGAAAATGATGTCTTCTGTAATGGAAAATACTGCCCCTCTTATTAATATTGATACTGTACAACTTAATAAACAATCTGAACATCATTTAAGAAATACCATTAATGGAAGACATTCAATAATGTGTCAGCCAATAAGCCAAATGATTAAAACAGGGTTAGACCATAGTTCTATGAGAAAGTCAGAAGCAAGTAGATTTTTAGGTACTCAAAAGAAAACCCAAGAAAAAAGTACTACGTTGGTTGAACAAGAAAGTATTGAAAATTTTACATTAAATCAAAATAAACATCCACCAATTAAATTAGATATTGATGATAAGAAAAAAGAAGAACAAAATAATATTAATGAATGTAATCAAAAGTCTAAACTAAATGAAGAGTTTAATCAAGTTACAACAAACCAACTTCAGAATGAACCTAAAAAAGAAATTCAAAAAGAAAGAATATTTGGATGTGGTAAAATTACTACAATAGTTGTCTTTCTTATTATGGCTTGTTTTATTTCATTGATTTTATCAGTTGATTGAATGATTATTATTTTTGATTAGAATATTTATTTTATTTAGAAAGATTTTAAAGCACAATGAGTCAATTATCAATAATTTTTATATCCATTTTACTTATTAAAGGTCTTCTTTCATTTATTGTATTTGGTAGTCTTTGAGAAATAAACAAATCAGGTTGTGAGTTTGGGATAATGGTTTTGTGAAACTTTAAATTAGGATAATCTTTTTTGTTCAATGGCAAAGAAATAGGAGGTACAAATAGGAGGTACTTGATGAGTTTAGGCACAGAACTCCAATTGATCATTTTACAAGACTTAAAATACATCCCTTCAAGAAGACTTTCATTTGGGTTTTGAATAGTTACTATGGAAGAAAAACAATACAACTCTTTTAATTTAGATGGAATTATTATTGTGAGGCTTGATGAATTTGATATTCCTAAGACGTTGAGAAGAGAAAGATTTTTTAAGTTAAGAAGTTCGTTGTTTGAATAATTCTTGATAGAGAGATATGTTATTGTAGTTGGGGGATTTGTTATATTAATACCAGGGTCATTTGATAATTGTTGTAATTTCATTTGATTATGAAAAATAAATCCATAGAAAGGAGTTTCTTCCATACTCTTCATTCCAAGTATTTGTAATGAGACAAGTGAACTTGGGAGAAAACAAGATTTAGTTTTACAATTTCTACAAATAATGGATGTCAAAGAAGATGGAAGTTCATTTGAGTTTAAACTAATTTTACATTGAGACAGTCTTATTTTATTTAATCTTGTTAATACTGTTAAAGTATTTGTAATAATGCAATTTGTAAGGTGCATTACTTTCATATTTTTCAATTTAGTTACTTCATAAGGGAGTTTATCGTCAATATCAGTAATAAGTTTTAAACTATTAATACAGTTCTTATCAGCAATAGTCCAATGAGGAACATTTTCAAGTTTGAGGCTTATAATATATGATGGAATTGTAATAAACTCTACTACATCAGATAAATATAAATAAATTAAAGAGTTAGGAATATTTTTTAGAGAACAACCGTCATACATTTTTAGTGAAGATGGATAATAATATTGTTGTTTTGGTTTAAATTGTTGTTTTATTTGTATAATATTAGTAAAAGATGATAAGTCAACAACCCTTTCATTTTCATTATAAAGCCAAGACAATTCAATGCTATAAGGATAATAAAGTTTCATTGCTTCATTCATATTTTTCTTTCTTGAAGAATATAAGAAGGTATCTTGATAATTAACTATTGCTTCTTTATTTTCAATCCATTCATTACAACAAACAATAATCTTTTTAGATAATCTTTGCTTATTAAGAATATTAATACCATTAAGTTTTCTAGTTTCAATTACAAACTTTTTTATTTCATAGTCATCTATTTGATTAATAAAAAGGTCTATATTCTGAGTTAGATTAACATAAACCCAATCAAATTTTTGGTTCTTTTCTGTGAAGAATTGAAATAAATTTAATTTAACATTAATAGATATAAGTTTAATTCTTTTCAAGTGTATGAATTCTTTAAAATCAATACATATAGGTTTTTTAATAATAACTCTTAACTCAACTAATTTCTCTTTAAAACTATCTAAAATAAATTGATTAGAATCAATAATACCATATTTTATTCGAATACAATTATATGTTTCAATAATTTCTTTTCTTTGTTTTATTGTATCTAAATCTGTTTGGATAGTTTGAATATTTCTAAATAATTGAATTTCTTGATCTAATTCTTTTGTTTTCATTACATCTAAACTAACTTCTTTGATAGCATCATGCCATTGAATATAATTTCCTTGTGGAGTAAACCATGGATTTATTCGAAGCATTCCTACTGAATCAAAACATTTTTTGTTAACTAATTGAAATACCTTTACAGATCTAATGTCATTGATGTAAGGGATAACAATACTAAGATAAATTGCTTCTAATGTTCTTGTCATCTTAACAATAACTTTATAAACTAATTCATGTATTTTTAGTTTTTTTGAATTAAAAAAAAAATAAAACAAAAAATTTGATTTATCAATCAATTATTCTTCTTAGTATTTTCTGAACTTTGTTGTTGCGGTTGTTTTTGTTGTGGTTTTCTTGTCATAATGTCAATGAATAATGTGCCAAAAACAATAAAAATAGCAAATATCTGTAGTTTTGTGATTGGGTGTTTAAATACAATAACAGAAATAATCATTGTTACAATCTTTCTTGTATTAGTTACTGCAACAAGAAGTAATGAATTAGCTAATGTAATTAACCTGTAAATAAAGTATTGTCCACAAACGGAACAAAAAACATAGCAAATAATAATTAATAGAAATTCTATATCTTGTGATATAATACTTATCATTTGTTGCAAATCTCCTGTGACTATTGAAATAATAGCAAATAATGGAATGGCATAAAAATTAGCATACATCATTGTATAGAATAATGGTACTTGATAGTCATGAGCAATAATATCTTCTTCTGCTGATGCTATTCCATCACAAAGTAATGATGTAACAATTAGTATTAGTCCAAATAAGAATGAAAAATCTGAATATTTTGAAGTATCTAATTTAGCAAATTTGTCATACATAAACATAGCTATTCCACTAAATGTAATAATACTGAATATAATCTGTCTTATTTCATATTTTTTAGTATAAAAAATACTAAATAACATAACAGTAATTGGTTTAAAAAATTTGGTAATAATTTGAGTTGGATAATCAATATATAACAATGATTTATTAGAAAAGAACATTGCACCACAATATGCCTGACTTTGAATAACAAATCTTTTATGGGGAATGTTTTTTATATCAAAGTGTTGTTTTGTTATTTTAATCAGGACATATGCTCCAAGAGTACTGAAACTTGCCTGAAGAAATACTAATGCACTAGTTGCAGTAAATAAAATCTTGTCTTTACCAAATTGGTGTTTTGTTCTAATAGATGAATGTATTAATTTCTTTTACATTTATTTATTGTAATTACACAACATAAACAAACAAATATTCAGCAAAGAATCCAACAGAAAGAAATGATACAACCAAACAAATAGCAGTTATTAATATATTGACATTTGTTTTATAAGATTGAATAGTTGATATAGTCATTTCTAACACTAACTAATTCTTTTCCTTTTCCTTTTTTTTTAAGATTTTTAATTAACTTTTTCCTTTTTTATTTGAAAAAAAAAGAAGAAGCAAAAACATTTTTTTCCTTAGTTTTTTATTTAAAAATTATTATTTGTGTTAAATAATAATATTAATAGATTTTTCTTACATTAGAATTATTAATGTTAGTAATTTCAATTGTAGTTAATAGGAAATTGAATCTTCTCTGTTAGAATTTTTTTGGGTAATTTAAAAATACGTTTGTTATTTTTAATTATGCACTAATACCAAGTGAAAATCAGACAAAGATTTATGTTTTTAAAATATATTACTACATTTATTCTTTTTTTTAATAGCTTAAATTTATAAAATTACATTTGCTTAAAGAAATATCACAACACGATTCTGTAAAATAAATTATATTGATATACAAGTGGTATTAATATTTCAAATTAGTGTGAATCATAATTAAAAGAAAATGATTTCAAATTTTTTTATTAAAAATATACATAAATATTATAAGTATAGTAATAAAAATAAAATAAGTTCATTAAATAATTAAAGAAATATTAACAATGACGAAAATATTATTCATAAGATATATTCATGTTTCTGGGATAATATATTTTGTGAAATAATTTTAAGATAAAGTATTTTAGATTAAATATGGAAAATATTGTTATTAAAGAGTATCATGGTTATTTGTATGTATTTCTTTAATAGCTAAAATATTCATTATTGTGACAATTTTATTTATAACAATTACAGAGACAGATATTATGAGATATTAATTGGATATATTTGTTTGTTATTATGAATTTAATGTAGTCATACAAAAATGAATATGGCAACGAAAAAAAGCAAATAATTGAAAAAGAAGAGAAAGAAAGATATAAAAGAATAAAAAGAAAGTAAAAAGTAGAAGAAGATGAAGAAAGAATAAAAGTAGAAAGGAGAGAATATAAAAAGAAAGAAGATAAAGTGTAATAAAACAAAAGAGATGATAAAAGAAGAAAAGAAAGAAAAAAATAAAGGATGCAAATTTTATTGAAACAAATAAAAAAAGCGCAAAAATTAATGATGCAAAATTTAATGATGCAAAATATTTAGCAACATTTTTATTGATGCAAAATATTTTGAAATAAAAATAAATCATCATTTGATATTATTATATTTGATAATAAATTATATTATATATTAAATACATCATACTTCTTTATTATTTATCTTTCTTTTTATTATTTCATGTATTAAATTATTATTCATTCATTTATTATTTATATTTCATTTATTAAATAAAATGAAAATGAAATTGTAAAATATCAATCAATTAAATATTCATGAATAATAATTTATTAATATTTAATAATTGAAATAACAAATAATAATGTAACAATAATGATATATTCAATATATTCTTTATTTTATTTGTTCAATATTAGATTATTTTATTTCATTATCATTTCATTATTTTATTTCATTATTTTATTTCATTTATTATTTCATATTCATTTATTATTTTTTAAAATCAAATAAACAATAATATTGATATTCATTCATCATATTCATTTAATATAATAAATATACACAACATTTCAGAATAAATAATGAATAATTAACATTGAAAATATTGATTATATTTAATATTTTATTCAACATAAAATCAATAAAACATATATTTTGATAATACATAAATGAAATAATAAAGAAATATACAATACTCAAGAATTAATAAAAAAGAAATAAAAAGAATAAATGAATATAAAATTGATAAATAATAGAAGAAAGAAATAGAAACAACAACGAAAAACAAATAATATAAAAAGAATATAAATATATAAAAGAATAAAAATAAAGTAGAAGAAGAAAGAATATAAAAATAATAAATCACAAAGATGTAATAAAAGAAGAAAAGAAGAAATAAAAAGTGTATTTTTATTGTAAAAATTAGAAATATTCAATAAAAGTGTCTAATTTAATGATGTAAAATGATTAACAATATTTTATTAATGAAAAATATTTTATTCTTTTTTATGTTATTGTTCATATGTATAA